GAAAGAAGAAGAAGAGTCAGTAGAGGTGACTACCGAATAGTCAGGTCCCTGGGAACCATTCACCACCACCAGTATCTACATCAGTTTTCACAGACTCTTACCATCGGCAGCACTGGATTGGGCGGGAAGTTTAAGTTCCTAGAAAAGAGTTACAAGAGTCAAACTGGGAGAGAACGGGCATTTTCAGAGCCTTACTTTACAGATGTGGCAGAAGGCAGGCACCAACAGGAGCACTCGCCCAACCCGTGGCCCCACAAGATGCTCAGCACTCACACCTCCCAGTTTGTCCCAGTTCAGTCAAGCTTGTTGCACCAGTCCTGGGTCTCTCTGTGCAAGCAGACATGAGCAAGTCTGATTCTCTGGTTGCTCTGGGGCCATTGACTTCCTCAAGCCAGCCCTGCTGGCATGAGCAGCAGAGAAAGGGTAACTTGTCTCACTCTGAGCTAACCTCACCACACAGAAGGCAAGGCTGCCCTGCCTTGAGCTACATAAAATTTTCACCTGCTTTCTGTTTGCCCAGTTTAATAGTCAGGAATAAAAATAGCATCTGGGCTATTAAAAGGCAACATCTTTTAAATGTCTGCGGACTGCCTGAAATTGAGCCGGGGTCACCATTCCTTCTGAGACTCACTTAGTAGCAACATTCAATACCTGAGTTATGCTTTTGGTAAAGAAATTAGCCAAGCCAGATGCTATTTTTATAGCATCTGTGCTATTATAGAGGTGCAGAGACCCACAGGAAGGGGATCCCCACACTTGGCCTAGCTCAGGAGGGTGTGTGAGGGTCGCAGGCTCTCCTGGAAAGACCTACCTCCCAAGGCTGAGCTGCCTTATGCATGATTCATCATGCTGAAGGCAGTCCAGCCCAAAGCACAGACTTCTATTTGTTTTCCATAACTAAGGAGTTGCCTTAGTTGGTTCTGGGCTATTTTTACCAGGGGCCAAAGCCTAGAAAACAATCTCATTATTAAGATAGGGGCCTATGAAATAAGAGCTGCAATCACCTCCACTATAAAGCTTACCAAAGGAAAGCCACCACACATCTGATACTTGATGGTCACTTGGTAGGGCTGAATGCTGGGCCTTGCTCTTTACATAAAGCACACCCAGATATTTATATGAAAATGCGATAATAACTGCCTTTGCATGAACTAAGATATAATTTTTCTGCCAAACTTATCTTCAAGGCCCCTCTCATACCCACAGGGAGCCCTACCAGCCTGTCTATGAGATGGCTGGGTGAAAGGATCAAGGCCGTTCACTGCTCTTTGCTTCTCTAAGTCCCACTCTGAGCAGAATGGGACCTGATCTGTCTGGCATCCAGCCAGCACAACAGAAGAAACTACATAACAGCTGTTAAGAAAAACAAGCTCTCAGTCCTCCTTTCACTAAAGAGAGATTTCCCCACAATCTGGCAGGGCATATCTCACAATTATTGCTCACTTGTGTGGCTCTTTGCATCAAAGCTGAGACCCTTGGTGGCTGCAAATGAGCTATTGCCCTGTTCTACAGTGGCCACCCCTATGGATCTGACTATACATCTGATCTTCCCCAACATAGTGCTTAATACTCGGCTGTGTCTTCCCAACATGCTTCTAGAGTATGTTAAAATCAAATTGCCACATTAGTTATCTTGACATTAAATTGTTAAATCCTGGCACACTGTAAGTCGGGGGCCTATAAGGAGTACTTATTATCTTACTCATTGTAGTCTTCATTCCTCACGAAGATTCGTAAGAGAAATTCAAATTCTTGGTCCTCTGCTGTAGAAGGAACAACAGCATAGGTTCCTGGGCTCAAGATAAAGTAGCTGGTCACATCTCGAGTCAGGCAAAAATTTTGTTTCAGAACTTTGGAGTTGTCCTGAAAGAAAAATATAGCTGGCTAGCTCCCCTCCATGTCAGGAACCAAAGTATATCAGCAAGTGCACCCACAGCAACCTTACATTCCCACAGCTCTCTAAATATACACTACATCTAACATGCCTAAACCTCCCCAGGGGCATGAAAAGCCCATCCAGGTGACAGACTTTGTTCAAGGACACATCAAAAATGCACAAGGGTGGAAGAATAGAAAGAAACAGAAGGCAAAATGTATGGAAGTGGATTTGAAGAGAACTTCAATTAACGTTAAGCAGACCGGAGTTCATGAAGGAATCAAGGATGAATACTGTTAGTAAAACTTCCCTGAGACCTAGCATGACTCAGAGTGGTCAGAGAGCTCACTAAACATCTCACCCAGATGGCAATGCTTCAAGAATCACAACCCAAACCTTCCAGCAAGTGTCACAAGAAAATAGAACATTCTGATCTTTCTTCTGTTATTCCAGTATTTTTGCTGAGATGAAACAAATGTAATGCTACAGCTATTACTATGATGACATGTAAAGATAGCATAATAAAAAACCCTTACTAAACATATTCTCCAAAATACATCAGCGTGTATAAATTCCATTTAGAATGGTTATACAGCGTGGCAGAGTTATTTATGAGCCATGCCTTTGGGAGAAAATAACATAAAACTGCTATTTTGGGAGAAAGAAAAAAGATGACTACTGTTACAGATGGCTGGGAGGTATGTAGACTGCCAAGTATTATGGGTCAGATCTTGAGCAGATAGAAATGGGCAGTGCTGCAAAGAAATAAATAGTGTAATCCTTTTTTTACTTTTGGGTCTCATTTCACATTCCTTCTGGTAAAAAGCAGAAGCAGATTAATATCTCAATGGAATCAAAACCAGTGTGAGATAAGAATCAGCCTCTATACATTGCTCAGCTCTATCACACAACATTAAATTTCCCTCACAGCCATGAATTAGTGCTCCACGTCTGTATTTAATCAAAGGCTTCCTAGAGCTATCAGATATGTCCATTCTGGTTTGCATCCTTGCCTGCACTGCATTCCTCTCTCATCCTGCCAAGGGATAATACCCTTTTTACTTCACAGCAACAGTTTGAGGCATCTCAAAAGGTACTGAACAATGAATGATGCTGCTAATGAATAATGGCAGTGAAAGTGGTTGAGGGAGGAAGAGTGAGGCCACGTGAATCTTAGCAATTGCACTCTCCTTGCATAAAGAAAACCCCTTGTAAACTTTTACGCAAAGGTGTCACCTCTGATTGCCCTCAAGCACTGAGGCTAGATGCTGGGAATAAACCAAGTGAATAGCACTGTACACCTGTCTTGGTTTTAGCTCCTGGACTTGGCTGTTGCTGCTACCAGGGCAGGAGGCTAGGCTGGCTGTGAGCAGCTGGTAGACCAGCTCTCATGTTAAAATACTTAGGCTGTGTCCATGGGGGAATATTTTCTGTATAATCTGCTGTGTGGATTGTACCAATAACATTACATTACTAAAAGCTATGGTGTGACAGAGCAGCATGACAGTACCCTTTCCCTCATTCACCAGGTGCTCCACAGTAATCCGGTGCCCCTAGTAATGGCCTGTTCTGGCCTTGTCCTTCAGCTCCTGCATAGGAGATCACCTGGGATCAGAAGCCCAAACTGAGCCTGAGGTGAGCCATGGACTGACAGCCCCCTGAGGCCATGTCTCATTGAATTTCATCCATCCTTGGGAATATACCAAGAGAGAGAAAAACTAAGTGAAGACACCTGAGCATCAACTGGACGGGAAGAAAGAAATTTTAAACATAAAGTAAGAATAGAGCTGTCTTCTAGTCTACTTCCTGATTAAACAACCTCTTTTCAAGTGACCCAAGACCTATGCCATCACCTCCTGGTAAGGGTCTTTTCTGTCAAAATGAGTAACTAATCAAGGTGGGCATGCATCATACAAGAGCATGCAGGGACCTCCATGTCTGGTGACTGTTGGGGGACAGCTGATGAGGATGCTGGAAGCAGTGAGTTCCCCATTTTCCAGGAGCGGCAGCTCAGCCCATGGAGTGCTGCAGTGCTATCTGCACCAGGCAGAGGATCTGCTTGCATAGGGATAGTGAATTCCACTTGCTGGAGGGATGCTTTTTTTATTACGTCTTTTATTTCTCAGACACTGTTTTTTATGAGCTACGAAGCCATGCTCTTCCTTTATGAGGAGCTGTTAGACTTATGGAATCAATTATTCAAAGTCTGGGACTAGAGCAAACCTCTCCAGTGATCAGGAGAATGTGAAGTTAGGGTCATACCAATCTCTGCTTCCTTTTGTTCTTCAGGTTAAGAACAACCCCCTCCTACCCACCCTCAGCCTACAACAAAATCCCTTTGGAAAAGGCTAGCATCCATCCGCACTAGCAATTGCACTTTCAGTAAGCCTGGTAATGCTCTGATAATAACTGCCCTTGAAATGGCACCTCCCTGGACAGTCACTAAGAGAAAAAAAAAAAAGAACAGGGAAATTGTGGTGGAGGTCCCAGGTATCTGAGTGAATGGTCTCTGCACTGGTCTTGAGCAAAGCCTTCCATATATTTTGCAAATGGGTTTTACATGGCATTTCTGTGGTAGAAGATGCGAGATGAGTAAAACAAGCCCATTTTGGGGAACAAGAGGCCATTCTGTTCCCTACTAGACCTGGACTACTGCTCAAGTGCTGTGGTTAGTATTGGCTGTCATGCCTTGTGCTGGGCCAGTAAGGCATGTCACCAGTACTGCTGGGCACAAAGGATATTGCCCTAGCATCTCTTGTTACCTGTGGACCCCCTGGGTTTCCCAGGGTTATTCTGGGATGCTAGAGAACTGAAAGTTCAACCATTCCTCTCTTAAGACTTGAATAAAGGAAACTAAGCCTGCCTAACTCTACTTTTCCTGTGATGTTCTAAGGTAGAAGGCATTGAGAAGTTCACTCCAAATACTGACTGCTCTCCTTTTACAGCCCAAAAGGCAATTCAGTCTTTCATTTCCATGTACAGGTATAATAAGCCACACAGAAAACAGCAGTGCCTACATGATACCTGATTGTGCTTACCATGGTGATCAAAAAGCCAATCTTTTTTGCATCCTGCATATCCTCAGGATGTTTTTGCATGAGTGAAATGACTACATTATAGGTTTTGGGGTCATAATCTGGCACTTTGAAGAAATACTGAGGGTTCCTTGAAACTGCACCTGCTGAGAAATTGTTAATAGATTAATAGTAGCCACATAGATGTCCCAGTAGTAGTCTATTGTGTAAGATCTTGCTTATATGGACCCAGAGGAATAGGTAGTTACTGCTCCAAGATGCTTTCAATACAACAGAGCACTGTAGTCTCTACATTACCAGTAGGAACTGAGGCATCTGGAGTTAAACTAATTGCCCATTAATCACTCTAGAAATCTCTGGCAAAGTCATAAAAGTCATGCAGACTTCTCACCCCCCCTACCTCTGCTTCACCTACATGGCACACTTTCCCTGAGGCAGAAAAGCAGTGATTCTCAATCAGCCGCCTGACACAGTGGATGAGCTGAAAAGGACTATGGCTTGGAGATCATAAACACGTAAAAGAAAAAGACAAAATGATCCAAAGCTATCCTGCCCTTCCTTCCTGTTAGTGTTTGTGATGGACAAGACAGAGTGTTGAGCGCCAGAGGGAAAAGGCTTCTTCTTGGCCAAGGTTTTTGTTAACAGGAAGCATCACTGATAACAAAGCAGTAAAATGCCCAAACTGGGGAAAAAGAACTGAGATGGCAGCATCTGCTTAAATCAGTCTAGACATTAAGCCATGTAGTTGTGTTGGGTGGCCTTGAAAGCTGCAGTTTAGCCCAAGATTGCACCTGGACAGAAAGTCTACTAGAGGGCTGGTGGCAAAACACAGCTTCAAGGAAAACGGCTCTGCCCACATGGTCTCAGTTCAGCCCTTGCACCTCCTCACTCAGTTTCAGTGCCCGTGGTGTACAGGGGCACAGGCATTGCTTTATTATCACCCCTTGAGACATGGTGATCAAGGTTATGAGGAGGCGGCTGAAACCTGTAAGCAGAAACCTGTTTGCTGCTAAGTCAGGGATCAGTGTTGCAGAAGAAAGAAGCTCCTTTCAAGGACCACAGCTGCCATCTTAGATTAAAAACACAGAGCCCAAATAGTGATGCAGCTGTTGAAAAGTAAGATAAGACAAGACAAAAATTTTAAAAATACTTCTAATAATCGGAGCTCACAATGCCAGAAGAGTCCTTGCATAGGCAGTAAACCCAATGGTCTTATCTGCTCAAAGGTCTTTCTGCCTTCAAAAATAGAGCTTTGTAGCACAACTCTTTCATTTCATATCCATTTACTTTCAGAGTAAAACCAGCTACATACTTGTCAGACCAGACTTTCTGGTGAGGTCCCCAGTAACACCTACTGCAACTGGCTGAAAGAAGATAGACAAGCACATTTCGATTTAAAGAGTTTAGGGTTTCTAAATCCTAAAAGTGTCCTGTTTTAATTCAGCAGCCAGTGCTGCTGCTTTGTTTCTGCTTCTTTAGCTGATAGGTGCTGTAATGGGAAAGGGCAGGTATTAACAACTAGCAATCAATATTTCTGCAATTCGGTGGTCAGAGTGAATGTTTCACTGTAAGCACCAGTGGACAGGAGGAGACGACTGGGTGACTGCAGTGAGCGTTCATTACCTGAGGAATAGTTGTTCCTGCCTGTGGCAAGGACTGGACTCCACAAATTGATGTGCTTGTTCATCGACCACGTGCAGGGCTGATCTCCAAAGTCCAGAAATGTTGGGGTGCTATTACATATATACAGCCAGGAAAACTGCTCTTGGAAGTTTTCACAGGACATCCTACAGAGAAGGAGAAAATCTCACCTTTCAGTTTGAGACACTGGTCAGGTACATTCACCCCCCATGTCTTTAAAAGGGGATTACAGAGAGCACTGCAGGCTGTAGCTGAGCTTGCTGATACCTTGCAGAAGAGGTCAGCTCTCAATGCATTTGGGCTGCCATAACTGCACCTAAAGCCCCAGGGAAATTACAAGGCATGTTCAGTAGTACCTAGGTGGTGCCCTGCTATCTCCAGCACATCTCTGCCACCGCACCTTGCTTTGTCCCTCTGCAGCGTCCTGCCCCACACTCATTCTTTACTCAAGCCTGCAGTGTCTATCTCACACCAGGCTGCTGTTACCCTGCTTTCCTCAGAGCCTCATGGGGCAAGCGTGCACTTTTTGAGCAATAATAGGTTTTCTAAAGGATGGCTCACATATGGCTAAACTAGATCTGAGAGTAACCAGAGGCAGTGGAAAACCACAAGCACCTGCAGAGCAGTAGAGTGCACAAGCTCTATGACCTGCTCAGCCACATGTCCCCTCCAAGCACCAGCTAGTCCAAGGTTCGAGATAGGTACTTTATGGGGAAGGGCAGTGTAACAAAATGATTAGGTCTCAGGGAGCTGTATTTTTACTTCTCTCACTTTTCATTTTTTTCACCAGCTTGTTACTTAATCTTGGCCAGCTCCATTTCTTCAGGTCTTGTTTCCTCTGAAACCATGGGGTCAGGACAACCTCCAATTTGCTGTTTGCACACAGCTAACACAGGGTGCCTTGAGACATCCCTAAGAGCAGAGAACTGCCTAAATGACTCTTTTTTCATAATGAACGCGAACAGAAAACGTGGTAGACAGAAGGATCAATAGGGAAATACCAGAATTCTCCATCATTCTTATTTCTGAGGAGGGCTTCTCTGAGTTTAGGCTCAACATGGTCCCACTGAGGAGAGCTACAAACAGGAAAAAATCAACAAGCAGATGTGAGGCACAATTTTCCATCTCTCTAGCCAGCCCATTCCTCTAACCAGGCCATCAAGTCATGAGGGATCAGGAGGGGTGAGAAAACTGCATGCTGGGAACAGGACTGGGCCCAATACCTTCATAGCCAAGGCCAGTAAACAGAGCTCTGTGCTTTTGCTGTGCCTGAGATGCCTACCCTGGGATGGGGAATTGTGCCTCTGTCCTCCAAGCCCCGGTCCCCTGTCCCCGTGCTGGAGAGGTTAGTGAGGTACCAAGGCATAGCACTCTGAAATGCTGATATTACATTGACATGTAGAGAGCACATTAACCAGCCAAATGTGTTGTTTCCAAGCAGCATGTTTATAATTAAGTGATAATTGTACTTTCTGCAGAGTGTAAGACAAATAAACAGAGCATGAATCAATAATTTATTGATTTATGCAGCTTACCTGTGAACGTGCTCTACTGACATTTCAATTACAGTTAGGATTACAGTTCACCCTTCCAAAAAATGGGAGGATGCTGTCTGAGCAGATAGCTATTATCCCAGACTTAAACATGTCTGCACCACCCGCCAGCCCATCCAGATGCAACACACTAGCCTGATTTTTCTCAGCAGAGAAGTTATGAGTGATCCTAGCAACAGGGAGAGGTTGGATGCTATTAAATCACATAAGAGTGACACCTGAACATCTCTCTAGTCAGGAAAATACTGATGCAATTCCACCAGGAAAACTAACATCTATTTATTTCAAAAACACTGTTGCAGTCTTCCTCTGTATCATTCCTTTCCTTAGGAAAGAGAAGTTAGCTTATGCACACAGCAGCAGAGTAGTCCTTGCATCTCCAAAGCTGCACGCAGGATCCAAAAGATCAGTTCAAGCCATCCAGTGGCACTTTGCAATAACCAAGGACCCTTTTTGTCTCTCTGTGTTCAACGCTGCATAGAAATGCTGCCCTACTCTCATGGCCTCTGCTAACCATCCTCTTTCCAGATTCAGACTCATGGGAGGGGAAGAAGGAGCAGGAAGGTGGATGCATGATTGCTGCAGGAGAATTCAATAGAAGCAGCCAACCAGTGTCTAGGGGCATGGCCAGAGCTTACTCCACGTAATAACAGCTCTTTCATCTGTGAGTTATCTGGAATTACCCACTGGGAAAAATGTAGACATAGACAAAAGGAATACCTGAGCTAGGCCTAGTGAGGAGCACATATAAAACCAATGCTGCATTAGTTTTCCCTGGACTGAATTTCTGTGGGCAGTTGCTTTGCAGATGGAAATAACGCTTATAATGAATTGATTTAGAAATGTCTGCTTCATTATAATGGGTGCAAGGCAGAGGTCCTTTACAATAAGCCTATAAAAGAGTGATTCTCCTTATGAGATTAAAGCTTTAAGACCATACTCATCACTCCAGGGCCCCTTCCACTCCCCATGGCCCCATGGATTCCAGATCCTGATTATATGTTTCCAGCCTTTCTTGTAGCGTATCTGTAGAAAAGACGAAAGAAAAATAAACTCTGTCACAGCTTTTCACGATTGTGATATTCAGTGAAGAGATGAGTAATAAAATGGATCTTCTTCTATACCTTGGAGGCCTGGTTTAACTTCTGATCTTATTTGACCGCAACTAAAAATCAGTGCCTTTTGCTACATTGTAAAGGAATGACATAGGGGAGAAAACTGTGGCCATTTTGCTTTCCCAAGCACAGTGAATAGCTGACACAGACAGAAGCAGCAGCATCCCTGCCACACTGCATGACTTCAACAGCCTTGGGAAAGTCCAGTGCCTAATCCTGCACATCTGATGCTGTGAGTCAGCAAAGGCAGAGACTTCAAGGAACCAGGCCACCAGACTGCCTGGACTGAATATCAACAGTCAGCACGGAGAAATGATGATAAACAGAATCTGTGTCTCCAGATCTACAGTATTGTGGTTCTCAACAGCTGGAGCTTTGGTGCTTTTCTCCTCTTGCTGTCACTGCTTTAAGCCAGAAGCAACTCATTTTCACCAGTGAAGCTGAAATGGTGGAAATGGAAAGGAGAAGCAAACCTTTTGGTTTCTGACTCTCCTTATGCACACAGGCAGTGTTGGAAACAAATGCCATGGCAGTCTCTTCCCAGGCAAAGGCCCAGCCCCTGGCCAGCCTCAAATAATTTCCCCACAGAAAATTATTTGTGCCTTGGCACTCCTGTAAGGCAGGGCAAAGACCATTTCTCCCCTCTGCACACATCATGAGCAGAAGGAAGCTGAAACAGCCTGCTTCCTCTCCATCAGGATTTGGGATGCTTCCACTCCTGTCTTGGGGAGAGCCAGCTGGGACCTTCTCTGGAGCCTGGCAGCACCCATCCTTCCATTTCGGAGCCTCTTGGCTACAAGCAAGCGTCCTCCGAGAAGCAGCTCACTGACTATGATGATGGCACCAAACATGCCACGGCATGAGGGGCTATAAACCAAAGCCAGGCTCGTACGGGAAACCATTAAAGAGAGGGGAGAAGGGAGAAAATAGCTTAGGGAAAACAATGTCCCCTTTCCAAAGTACTTTACATTCCTAGATTAAAATGTGTTGTACCTGTCTTGCTTGAGAACATAGCCACTGTTTGGTTTCCTTCTTGGCCTTGCTCACTGTTAACACTCCCTGTGTGCACTAAAGCTTACTGGGGTAAGCCATGTTCTGACTTCCTGTTGTAAAAAATCCCTCATTTCTTTTGATCTGTGTGATAAATTGGTCCTGTTTTCAGACCAGCAATATTAATATCTAGCCAGGAGAAGTTCTGCATGAATAGAACAGCTTTAAAAGATGGAGAAATGCTGTTCGTGAACCAGCAAGTTATTTACTTGTCACACAGTGATTTTTAGCAGCTTGTGACTGAGCCAAACAAATGTCAATTTGCATCATATGACAAATCCCAGAATTGCAGCCAGTGCTTCTATTCTGATTTGAAACAGAAAAGTGAATTTTTTAAGAGTCAGCATTGAATGAGAATCCCCAGAAATGCTGTATTTGCTGTTGAAGTGTCCCAAAACAAAAGTGAATTTAAGTTGCATTTTTTCATTAGAAAAAAAATTATAGGATTCAGATATCCTCCGTCTTCCCATTGTGCCAGAATCCTTCCATCTCTTGGAATTTGAACTATGTGTTTTCAACAGTCCCTCCTGAGCGTGAAGCTAATTAAAATTAATCTGAATGGAACAGCAGTGTGACTGCCCTGTAGTGGATCACCAGTACAAGATCACCAGGCAGGAACAGGTACTTGATCTTACCTTCACAGCTCCTGTGACAGTGTAGGCATGACCCTGCACAATCCCATTCCTCAGCTCTACGTTCCTCCCCAGCTGCAGAAGGGAGAAAGCACAGCTTTTAGCTCTCTGCCACACTGCAAATACATGGCCATCAACTCCCAAAACTATCATTTGGTATAGCAGAAAGAGAGACTTGGTTTTGACTCCAGCAGTATCTCAGATATAGTGGCTCCAGAGGAACGTGACTGCTGTTCCCACTGCAGCCTTATGTAGCCCAGTAAATTTAACAAAACTACAGGTCTTCACATATTTGCAAGTTCTTCAATGGTCCAGAGCTGCTGCAACTGCACAATGACCTGGACTGGGTCACTGGAGGATTAGAGCCCCAGAATTCCCCTGCCACCCACAGCCCAGTGTCAGCCACCTTAGCTGAGGGGCTAGTCCATGGCTTGTTTGCAACAGCTGAGCTTTGTGTCCTGATGAACCAGGCACTACAGGAGCAATGCCACACACTTTGCAGTCTTCCATTACCTGCTGTAAGGGAAGCCTTGGCAGCTTTTTAGCAAGATACTTGCTGAGCATCACAAAGCCTTTTGCAACTTCCCAGCATTAATATCAGTAGCCTACAAATGACAATGTGATGACAGCACCCTCTCACAGAAAAAAGGTGCATTTTGGCCTTGCTAGAATCAATCGAAAAGCTATGAGGCCCAAATCAGCCCTGCTGCAAGAGGATACGACCGTCGCAGTGGAATTAGCCAGGAGAGAAGCCACAGACCCCTCTCTGACAGTCCAATCTATCTACACCTACCCAAAAGCCTTTACATTACTTACTGCACAACCATATCTACTTTCTGCTCCCAAGATCTCTCCAGGCATCCATAAGCTGTAACTATTACACGGAGCGATTATAGACTTCCTTTTTCACTCCAAAGAGTTACCTTTATGCAAACATAGTAAACCAAGAAAGGCATGCTCCTGGCCCTGCAGCTCACCTGGCCTGAGGTGCTACACCCCATCAGACACTTCGATTTGTCAGCTGCTTTCAGTATCTCCTCCAAATCAGAAGGGGGATCCTTCAATGAAAACTGCACTTGGACTCCACCTGTGAGGTCTACTAAAGCATCAGAAAGGTAGCCTCCATGCAAGTTCTGGTAGGAGCCCCGTAACCTGGGAGGGGAAAAAAAGAAGTTAATTAGTCCTTACACTGTGTTTTAATAAACAATGTACAGTGATGGTTTCCAAAATGGATGTGTGCATTGAGGCAGTGAGCCTGGGGTGTGTAGACATTGGAGCGAGGTCATGAAAGGAAACTTGATTGAAATACATGGCCAGACACAACACATGTCCTGTGGAATGAGTGAGGCAGAGGGACTTTTTCCTATGTGTTCACTCACATCTGAGGCAGCTGTCTAGAGTCATTTACAGACAGTGGAAAATAATAAGGTGCATCTCATGCCAATGCAGACATTTTAGGGAGATGAGCTGCATCTCATCTTGAAGTATCCAGTTTCCTTCTTCTGAACAGGAAGGGTGACAAGTCCAAATGGATGTCTCGGCTCAAATGGAGCTGAACTGTCAGTTTTCTACATCATACTTTGCCATGACTCTTCACAAAACTGGCCAGTATCCTTTTGCAAATGAGAAATAGGAAGAAGAGAGAGGAGAAAGTATTTGCCCATGCTTCCAAGGCAAGACAGAAACAAGTTTTCAGCACTGTTCCCAATTCACTCTGCTAGAGTGCAATAATAGGATAATAATTTAATATTGCCAACACAGTCCTTGTTGTTTTTATCGTGTGCTTTTTATTGAGACAGCAAATAAGCTGGAACATGCCGTACTTAGAGCAGGTAGAGTATGCTGTTAAACCCCACCATACACACTGTATTTAATGAATGTAATCAAATGAAGTCTGCTGCTAATTGCATTTTGAAGGGTTGTCCTTGTCCTACGCTGATGAAAAGAATTTGTCATGGGCACTGGGGAAAAACTTCTCAAATGGGAATCTCATAAACAGCATCACTTGCAACTTTAATTTAATAGAGGTTTGGTTTGCTTTGTAATTAAAATCTTATGCAGCAAATTGATACTGAATCCTGAGTCAACTTTTCTGAGATGTCTCAGGGCAAAATGCATTCTATTTCTGAGTTGCTCAGATGCTGTTTTAACATTTGCTTATTCCTGACCAAATCTGCCAAAATAATTAGCTCTCTTCTTCAGCTCCTCCTTACAGCATTGCAAATGTTACACCAGCTTGATGTAGGGCATGTGCACCAAGTTCCAGCCCTTCGTACTACTGCTAGCACAGGAATTTCTCTTCAGCGCATTTAATAATGGGCAGTGTTACAATGCTAAGGGACCACACTCTGATCCCTTCACTCCTCAGAGGATTTTTAAAAATTATTATCTCTTTATTAATCATTATTAAGCCTGCAGCATCCTGGGGACCTCAGCCAAGAGTCAGAGCTCTCTCTGTGAAGTGAGAGCTGACCAGAGACTCATGGGAGTGCATGTGTTGTGCCTGGGCATGTTCTTCACGCTTCCTGTCATTGCCTCCTCCAAATATCCGCATGATCTCTGATAAGTGATTGTAAACAGAGGTAATCCCTGCTTAGAGTCTGCAGTTTTAAAGAGGAAAATACGGAAAGGAAAACAGAAGCAAAGAAGTTTGCTTAAAGTAAGGAGATGCCAAGCCCCATTTGCGTCACCAGACATTGCCCTGTTCATGTTACTTCTCAGGCATTAACATCCCAGAGTTGGACCGGGTACATTTAGGTCTTCAGCCTGGAAACCAAAATCTCCAGGTTATATTGGCCCTGTTTTTGCATGCAGCCACAGTTCCTTTCATAAGCGCAGCACAACGTACACAGCTGTTAGCCTGAATTCCTCCCCATGTGCTTTGCATAAAGCAGAGGGTGAAATCCCTTGTAGAAAGCATTCAGCACTGGGCAGAAGAAGAGACCAGGTATATTTACTTGGCATATGCTTTTTCCAGCAAGGATGGCCAGAATTCATTTGATGTTCGAGGGTATACAGACAGGTATCTTCCGTTTAGGAATGGCAGCCGGTCATCTATCACTACATCCACCCAGTCTCCATGTTGCCAGAACTGGAAATAAAAAAAAAAAAAAAAAACCAGAAAAAAAAACCAGAAGAGAGAGAAAAGAATGAGCCTCTTTTAAGAGCTAATATTCATGCCAAGCAACAGCCTCCTGAAATAGCACAGGAATTAATCTAAAGCATGGATATGTGCAAGTTCTCTCCTGAACTGCTTCAGGCTAATGGTCCACATTGTTAAACAAGCTACCAAGTGGCTGGATTTCCCAGTGGCAGGGGAAGTCATTTGGGAATACAAATAGTCCTGCAATCAGTGGGAGGAAAGATTCAACATGGGAAATATGCTAATATTATTGGGCGACAGCAAGCATTCAAGATGATAAAGAACAATCACGCAGATGGTTCAGTGAGCCGCACTCCTCAGCTGCACTTGTATTTTCCCCTGCAGCACAGCTCCTGGCCAGAGAGCCTCTGTCAAGATCCAGCCTCTAGATTTTCTTTCCTTTGTGTTTCAATTAAGACTCTGTCTTGGACAGGGACAGGGACAGTGTAGTGACTAAAGACTCTTTTGAGGTGTTATCCATCTCCTTGATAGATGAGGAGGACACAGGCAGTCTCTCCAGCATGTGGACAGAGCAGGTGTTTCTCCAGCTGATCCAGCTGATGAAACCTTTCAAGGGAGAAGATAGGGAAAGGGATCTGTGGGGATGAACTAAAGGAGCTATTTCCAGAGTCATTAGCAGATTAATGTAGCTTAGCATGATTCACAATCATAAGAGGCCAAGCTCTTATTTGCA